TGGTGGGGCAAGGCGAGGGCTGTGTGGTTATTGCACGTGCAGGGACATCTCTTTACGTGGCCCAGCAGTGCTCTGCATTGAGGCTGCCCTTGGTAGTGGACTCAGTGTATTGCCAGAATAGATGCACGATTCTCAGAACCTTGGCTTTTTGGAGTAAGAGGCATGTAAGGAATTCTGGATGCTGGTGATTGGATGCTTGTCATGAGTATGCTATGTCAGAAACATAGGCTAACTCATTTGTATCATCTACAGTGTCAGAACTTATTAACCAATGATAAATTTACAAGGTATAGGCAGTTTTGTTGGCTACAGTTTTCCATGCAGTCCTGTTTTCTTTAGTAACTGGCTCAGTCAAACTCATGTTCTTCTGTATGCCTGTAAATACGTCCATGGGTGCATTCACATGTATATTATGTTGATAGAGGTCAGAGGTTGATATCAGATGCCTTTCTTGCTTGTTCTCTACTATATTTTTTGAGACAGAGTCTTTTATTGTACCTTGAGATTATGGATTTGGCTAGATTGTCTGGCCAGTGAGCCCCTGGGAAACCTCTTTTATCTGCCTCCTTGTCTTGTGATTACAGGTACATGGAGTGCATGCATGTGTGCATGTGCATGTGTGTGTATGCATGTGTATGTGTGTGCATGTGTGTGTGTGTGTGTGCATGAGTATAGGTTGCAGAAGTCTCTGTAGGGTCAGATAGCCCTGCAGGAGGTCTGTTGGAGATGCTGATGCTGTTAAGCAGGCCTGGTTCTGAGTCACAGGGCCTGCTGACTCTTGGTATTTGGTTCCCTGGTAGGCAGTTTAATGCTGGCTGGATGGGAAGGTGGGAGGGTTTGTGAAGGGATGTGGACTGGGTAAGGTGATCCCGGGATGGAATAGTTCATGAACCTGACTGAGGAGTCACCACAGTGATACCAGCTCAGCAGGGAGGCCTGGTGCTGAGCAGAGCAGCACAGCAGTTTCCCCCGGTGAGGCTGCAGAGCACAGACAGGCCTGAGAGGATCAGCCCACCTGGATGTGCCTGAGTGCAGCTGCCTTTGAGTCTACTGTGGATACCTGCCCAGGGGGGAGGCAAGGCATAGCTTCTCCCTAGCAGCAAGCCTATAACCAAAGGTCAGATGTCACTTGATGGAACAGGTGACTTCCCTTCTCTTTCTACACTAGAACTCTTTCTGGCCCATGGTAAAGTGAGGTGAGCAGGGACAAGTAATATGAAAGAGTCTCCCCAGAAGATGTTGAAGTAGTTGTGGCAGAAACCTTCATGTTTCTCTTTATGGTCTGTCTCCCTGATTGTGGGCCCTCAGCACTATCATGGCTACTGAGTGGGCTCTTCTGTTGTTACAACACAGACGTGGACCTGCTTGAGGGGTGAGGCTCTGGCCTTCTAGACTGATTGTCCTCCTCCCCAGTGTCTACCCTAAATCCACATGAAGGCTCCAAGACAGAGAATGTGTCTTATTCTAGTCGCCATGGAGAATGCGGGGCAGAGGGTGGACCTGACTCCAGCAGGGGATATGCTTTAGAATGCCAGCAGGCGTGGGCCTTCTGCTTGGGTCCTCCCTAGATTAACAGTGAACTCACACATTTGTGCATACATATATGCATGCACATACTAGAGAAACGCACGCGTATAGACACAAATGTACAATGCATGCACACACAGGTCATGTGCACACTTGCTCATGCACACTTGGGTGTTTGCTGACTTTGGCAGAGCACAGAGAAGAGGGAGGTAGGTGGGCCAAGGAGACCACATATAACCCTCTTGCTCTTGAGGCTGGGTTCATTCCTGGGTCGTGGGTTGCAACCTGGGAGCCTATAACAGATGGGGCTTTCCTGACAACCCTAGGCCACTGTCAGCTTCTTTGCACCTCGTTTGTGCCAAGTCTTCTCTTTCTAGCCTGGTGAGAACATTTGACTCTGGGGTCAGCTCACGTATAGTGAGGTTCTGATCCAGAAACAGCCCTTCACCATGCTCCCTTGTCTTGTATACACTTTGCTTCTTGGAAGTGACATTATCCAGTTCCCCAAATTCAGTACCTGGCCGGGTTGCTGAGATGAACAGCAGCCGTTGGGGCTGATGGGAACACAGGGAGGCTGCTCGCCAACCACGTACAGTTGCACAAAGAACTTAAGAAGCTTTGGATCTGAGAGGTGCCTTCCCCACCTCCCATACTCATCTTGCTGGGGAGCTTGTGAGTTTGAGGTCAGAAGGGAGCTGTAGTTCTGTTGACCTGGGTGACCACCCTAAGCTTGGTGACAGGTAAAGTGAGCCTTAGCATTGGTGAGTGTCCAGCACAGTCATTTGGGTGGCCAGTAGTTTGTCTCTGCTCTGAGAAGCCATGCCCCTTCTGTGGAAGGAAGCTGTTTCTGTCAACTGGGAAATAGGTGTGCCTATGGCTACCCGTTCTTCCTTGGTGAATGTCAGGGGGCCCTGGCACCTAGGAGAAGAAGCTAGTGGCACCACAAGCCAGATCGGGGTCCTGGGTGTCAGAGAGTGTGAGTTGACAGCTTCAGCCTTGGAGAGTCACGACCATGTAGAGGAGAGGACCGGGACAGGAACTATGCTGTGGGAAGAGAGGAGTGAATGTATTTCTCATCTGCCACCCTCTTTTTTCCTCTTTCTTTCTTTCTTTCTTTCTTTCTTTCTTTCTTTCTTTTTCTTTTTCTTTTTCTTTTTCTTTTTCTTGGCAGGGTTTCTCTGTGTAGCCCTGGATGTCATGGAACTAGCCTGGCTTCAAACTCAGAGATCCATTTGCCTCTGCCTCCCTAGTGCTGGTATTAAAGGCATGCACTACTACCACCCAGCCCACCCTGTCTTTTTTTAAAAAAAATATTTTAAACTTATTTCATTTATCCATGCATGTGGAGGTCGGGACAACTTGCGGAGTCTGGGTCTTTCCATGATGTGAACCTCAGCATTCAGACCCTGTTGTTGGCTTTATGTGCTGAGCCATCTCAGTTGTGTTGTGTGCATGTGTGCTTGCACGCATGGATTTGTGTTTGTGAATGTGGGTGGCTGTGCCATTGCACACATGCGTAGGTCGGAAGACAACCTTGGACATTGGTCCTGTTGAAGACATGGCCCTTTGTTGTTATTGTGTATGCAGTCTAGCTGGCCTGTGAGCTTGCTCAGTCGTAAGCTTCGAGGGCCTCTCTTATCTCCATCTCCTGTCTTGTGGTAGGAGTGCTGGGGTTAGAGAAGCATGCTGTTGCCTCTGGCCTTAAGTGGGCTCTGATGAGCTGAACTTGGGACATTATGCTTGCACGGTAGACCACGGTAGGCCTTTACCCACTGAGGCATCTTCCAGACCCCAGCTACAAATCTTGATCGCATCTCATCACAGTGTCTCTGTGTCACAGCCCTCCTGAGGGTGGCAGTAGCTTGAGAAGTCAGTCCAGGTGTGTAGGGGAAGGTGGCACCAGGAACCTTGCTCTCTCCACTTAGAGGATGTCATCACCCACCTAAAGCGGAGGGTGCTGCGTCTGCATCTAGACCAGGGCAGGCAGCATCTGGGAGTTTCCTTTCGGCTGTCTACAGAGTTTCTTGGGAAGGGTTGATACCCATCTTGATCAGGCACTACAGCTGGCTGTGAGGTGCTGTGCAAATTCTGAGTAGTGACCCTGGGAGTTCAAGTCCCATGAGGGCCTGCTTGGCCACAACCGGGGCACCTCTTCCCCTTCCAGTACTTTGGTTGGTTGGGAGGTTCAGGGCTGGTGCACGTCTGTGACGAAGGCCCTCTAGTTAAAGAAAAGCCTCCCTGAGGCCTGGCCTTGTAGAAGAAAAGGGAAGGGTCAGGGAAGGGGGACACTGAGGGGAAGGAAAAGAAAGGAAAAGGAAAATACAAACAGTGGCCAGAAATTCCCTAATGTTTAACACACTGTGGTGTAAACACAGCCATATGTGTGAGTGGGAGAGCGTGGGCCAGGTGTCACGTTTGTGCTGTGTGTGCATGTGTGCACACAGGTGAACAGCATTACAGTAAATTTGGGTCGGCACATTTGGGGTACGTCTCCCGCTCTTGGGTCTTATTTCCTTCTGGTAATAGAGGTTGAGCTAGGGCCATGCGCATGCAAGGCAGATGTTCTCCCTCTGAGCCACATATCCTCAGCCCTCTCCCATTCAGAGAGATTCATCTCTCTGAATCCTGGACTGTCAGGTCTAAGGAAAGGAGTCCTCCATACCTCAGAGCCTAGGGAACTGCTGTGCCAAGGCCCAGAGTGGTGGGCCTCCTGTGCATGTGTAGAAAAAGAAGCCAGCCGGTGAGGCTTCAGCAGAGAGACAGTGGGCAGGCATCAGGCCTGATGGAAGAGACAGGGAGCCTGAATCTACTTAGAGTTCAGTTATTGCAAGACTGGAATGCCTATGAGTTCAGTGGAAAGGAGGCCTCTGAGCTGAGGAAACGGGTGTTACCCAGTGTTACAGAAACGGGGCTGAGAGGGCAGGAGTGGAGGACTTCTCGCCCTGCCAGTTCTCGCTTCAGTGGAGGGAAATGAGCGTCTTATTCTGGGCTACTTCCTTCAGTGGACATCGTTGTCACTTGTTTAGACTTGTAAATTAAACACTTTTCTTATACACAATCTCATTACATAACTCAGGCTCATATCGAATGCAGTCTTCCTGCCTCAGCCTCCCTTGTGCTGGGAAGGCAGGTGTGTGCCACCAGGCCTGGCTTATATAATTTTCCTCCCCAAGAGGTTTTCTGTCATCCCAGGGCCCTGGGCCTCTCTCTTTCTCTTACCTATGATCCTAATGTGAATCTTTTGTATAGTATGAGTTAAGTGGGCACAGCCCCAGTGACCTAGCTTTGGCTGTATTCCTAAAGGTTCTTATATAGAAATCTGATGACATGGTGACTTCTTGGGGTAGAAGAGCTCAGGGTAGGGACTCAGCCCTGGGGTCATCCCAATGGCAGCCCGCCCTGTAGGAACAAGGTCTCTCTGCTAGCAGTTACCAGTTCCTCATGCTCCTGACACATCTCTCTCCTGCAGAGGTCAGACCCACAGCTGCTGGCCCAGTTCTACTATGCTGATGAGGAGCTGAACCAGGTGGCTGCAGAGCTGGACAGCCTGGATGGGCGGAAGGAGCCCCAGCGGTGCACACTGCTCGTCAGCCAGTTCCGCTCCTGCCAGGTGAGTGGGCAGGTGGTGGCATCGGGATATGTGTCTTCATCTTGGAGGGTCTTGTGGGGGAGATTCTTGCTTGGGTAAGTGTAACAAGGATGGCTGTTGTGACCTGTCCTTGGTAAGGATGTATCTTTGCCCTCTGATCATGCCCTGAAGGAATGTAACCAGGGCCCTGGAGATAATGAAGAAACTAGACCCAAGAGGAGCGTTTTTTGGGTAGGATGATGTGGGACTGGGAGATAGACACAGTACAAGTGCTAACTGTACAGGGCTTTGGGGAAGAGCAGAAGCTGAGGGCCAGGAGCGGATAGGGAGGTTCTTGCTCTGGCTGCCCTGGGTAATGTGTGCAGAGCTAGTGGGGGACGTGACTACACTTGGCTGCTGACTCATGGTGCTGGGAGCTTTTGCTGCATAATTCAGAGACAGCCCTGGAAGCTGCTGCTAAAAATAACTTCCCAGCAGCATTTTCTTCCAGTGCAGCAAACGTTCACGAGGCGTTTCCAGCAGGGACAAAGTTTTATCAAGTGACAAGCACAGTCTTTCAGAAAGTTCAGGAACCTTCTTTGTGTGTTTTGCCTATGAGTTCTTGCTGGGTTCTCTGTTCTGAGAGCCACGTGGGGCTGGTGCATGCTCACCTGATAGCCAGCCCATTTCTGTCACTGTGGTCCTCAGGGCCTTGCTGCATGTGGTTTCCACAAAATAGCCAGGTGATCACTCTCCAGGCTGCCCCCACACGGATGTTCTTGTCTATGGCCTCTTCCCACGGAGCTCCAGTGTAAAGACTCTGTTTGTGCGTCATAATCTGCTCCTTCTTTGGGTTCTGTGGCTCTGAGATGTTCAACACAGCCTCCACCTACCATGTGTCTGTTTGGAGGTTCTAGGCTTCTCCAGGGCTAGCTTCCCTGCTTCCAGGAGTTCCTGCTGGAAACAAGAGTTACTAGGGAGCCACCTGCAGGACAGATGCTCAGAGGGGCTGAAGGCTCCTTCCTCCTGCTCCTGTGTGTTGGAAAAGAGGGCAGCTGTGGTCACTTTGGGATATGGCTGTGGCCAGCTTAATATCTCTCTCTGACTAGCTAGGTATGCATTAATGTCAGTGGCTGTTATTTTAGGTAGACTGGGGAAAGGAATGTCAAGCTGGTAGTCCCTTCTTAGGTCAAGGGTCAGGACTCATCACAGTGAGCCTTGTGCTGTGAGAAGGGTCTGGGGGAATCACTTAGGTCCAGGCCGTGTCTTAAGGACACACCTTCTTTCCTTATCTTGGGGTCTGGATGGGAAGCATGGGACAAGAGATTGTGCATAGCCCTCAGCACTATTCCTTGTTACTTGGCTCTCAGGACCCTGTTCCCTATCTTACCTCAAACCACCGTCACACCTACTTCCTTTTCTAGCCTCTTAGATTCAGGATTCAGTTCTCTCCTCTTCTTGGCCCCCTATGGCCACACTATCTTTGTCGATTCAGTTTCTCTGCTGCCCCATTCAGACATGTATCACAGTGCTCCCTAGCCCCACGGGCACCCGTTAGATGGCTTAGGCCCAGCTTGGGGGTTCCAGTTCCCATCCTCGGCACCTTGTGCAAGTTTTGCCCACGAACCCAGAATTTCATGTCTCTTTATGGTGTTCCAACTGGCACCATACTTTATCGAGTTTAGCCTGTGAGTGCTTGGTGCTGCTCTGCAGAAAGATAATGGATTTCTATAAACCGGTCTTGTGACCTGAGGCCTTCCCGAGGGAATGCAGGTTACACTGCACTATTCTTCCTGCTCTCTGCCCTCCAGTCTTACAGGATCCCTTACCACTTCTGACAGTAGAAACATAATATTCCGTCCTACCATATGGGTGCCCTCAGTTCAGCAGTTCTAATGCTTCCTGAAGACAGTGTCGGAGTTCAGGTGAGTGCTTCCTTTACCTGTGATATTTATGACAAAGGAGGCAGGTGTCCATGTGTGTAGATCACTCAGGGTGATATTCGGACATGGCCTGAGCAAGGCACCCCTGTCTCTGTGGAGTTGGAGAATACTATCATCCTAGACTGCAGATGAGTTTGCCAGCCCAGAAGCCCTCTGAACTTTGGTTTCATGTGCAGGTGTGACCGATGCCCTCTCCTGAGTTTGTGCCCTAGAGTGACTAGTCCCATCCTGAAGCTACTCTGAGCCTGGCTATCTGCCATCTCATTAACATAGGCAAACACTCTATTACCTCAGAAATTGCAAGTGTTTTAGGGATTGTATGCCAAGAAACTGAAAGAACACACACACACAAACACATACACATTACAGTTTTGAGTTGAGAGTCTCTATGTTGCTTAAACTGGCCTTGAACCCCTGGGATCAAGAGATACTTCTGCCTCAGCAAGTAGCTGAACTGTGCCTGGTTCCAAAATGCATTTCATGGATCACTTTCTAATTCATGTACTAGTTTTGACAGTGTTCTTTAGAGTCTAATAGATATTATATAAATGTTTTCTGCAAATAAAGGTTTGTGCTTCCTTAAAATTTTATTTTTATTAGATAGTGTGTATGCATATGTAACTGTGTGGGTATGTGCACATGAGTATAGGCCAGAAGAGGGCGTTAGATCCCTCTAGAGCTGAGCTACAGGCAATTGTGAGCTGCCTCATGAGGGTGCAGAGGACTGAACTCGAGTTCTCTGTAAGTGCAGCATGCACTTGTAACTTCTGAATCATCTCTCCAACCCCAGATTTTTACTTCTCTCTTCATTTTTGTGTTGTGTGACAAACCCTGCTCCCTGAGACCCTCCTGGCGTTCAATGCTTGGCATACATGCTGAACAGACTTGTTCTCACCTTGGACAGTCAGTGGTCAGTACTTTATCATTAAGCGTGTTAGCTGTAGGATTTCTGCAGAACCCCTTTTACCATGACAAGGAAGTTGTCTTCTATTTATAGCTTGCCAAGGGCTCTTACCAGGAATGGATGTTGGAGTTTTGTCAAATATTTTCTTTGTGGCTATTGGGATATCAAGTTTCTTATGGTAAATGGCATTGAATACTTTTATGCGTTTCCATTATTATTCTTGCCATTGCCCAGCATCAGCTGCGTGCATGTGCTGCGAGGCAGGGCTCTGTCTGTAATGTCCACTAGTTCACCCCCAGTTCCTAGCACACAGTGGGCAAAGGGGGTGGGTCTGACCTAAAATGCTACCTCTTCCTTTTCTTCCGTTTGTCTCTCTCTCTCGCCTCTTTCTTTCATTTCCTTTCTTTTTTTTTTTCTTCATGTGCTTTGTGAGATGGGGTCTTGCTTAGTCAGGTTGAGCTTGAACTCATAACCCTCTTGTCTCAGCCCCTAAGTATAATTGCTCAACAGCATGGCTTCTTTAATGGTATGTCTTATCCACTCTCTGATAGCAATCAGGGCATCACATAAATGACGGTAAGCTGTGTCAAACTGCTGAAAGTTTGATACTGTGCCAGTACAGACACTCAGGCTTCTCCCCATTTCTGTAGTTAGAATTACAATTATGTAGTTGTGGAAGAAATCTTGCACTCGTCTGGCCCTGCTCGTTCAGTATCCTCAGACACGATGACTCCTGCATTGCATTACTACATAATATTTTAACAACAAAAAAGCAATGGCATTGTTAGGTGCCTCTAAGTCAGAGGGCCATGGTGGTTAGAGTGGTGGAAGGTACCATTCAGTTCCCCAGGAGAAAGAGAACAGAGGAATCAGCTGGGCATCACATAAAGACAGATTTTGACCCTATTCTTAACAAAAGTAAACTTTTAAACTGTAGAATGCCTGGGACATAGGAACTCTTGTTTAGTGTGTGTAAGGCCAGGGGTTCAATGCCTGTGGACCAGCCACAAAATAGAAAAGCAAAACATAAGAGGTCAGGCATGCTGCTTAGAAGCACGGAATCTAGATCTTCTCTCTCTGCTCTCATGGTACAGCATGCTTTTTATTCAACCTCCTCAAATTTTGTTAGGAAATTTGCATATAGTATAGCCAGGTATGTTGTCGCACACCTGTAACCCGGCACTTGGAGGTAGAGAAGATTAGGGGTTCAAGGAGAGCCGTGGCTGCACAACAAGTTTGAGGCCAGTCTGGTGTACATAAGTCTCTGCCTCAAAATGAATTTAAAATGATACGAGTTCTCCATCTCTATTCAGGAAGGTTTGGTATTTGGATAATGCACACCTATAGAATGTGTTGGGAGATGCTCTCATTTCTAGGGTTTTTTTTTTTTTTTTTTTTTTTTTTTTGGAGGGAAAGGGTCCTGAATTTGTGTCAAATTAGTGTTATTTTTCTGTTTGGATCCAGAGGTTTTTCTATGGGAATACTTCTAACCTTAGATTCATTTTATTGAATATATACAGAGCTTTTCAGGTTTTCTGTTTCTTCTCAAAGCGCTTTGGGAGTCTACTACAAGGTAGTTTTCTTCTAAGTTGTCAGCGTAAGTTGCTCGTGCAGGCGTTTTAATATCTGTAGGCTGCGTGGTGATGTCTTCTCCCTTGTGAGCTGTGTCTCCTGAATGTGTTTGTCAGTTTTATTTATCATCTCAACTGAACTGTTTTTGGCTTTGTTGAGTTTCTCTTTGATGGGACTCTTTATAGCTTGTGCATATGTATGGAGAGAACACACCTATTCCTAGTGGCTTGTGCGTATGTGTGGAGA